AGTCCAGGGCCCAGTCGCCATAGCCAAACAGCTTCGGCCGCACTACTTTATTACCTATGAGCTTTCAGTGACCACTGAATCGTGAAGATGCTGTTTGACCTGTTGGAGAGACTAGCTTGTTCTCTCTTCGGGGCTCGCCCCATTTTTGCTTCATTTTCGCTATTTGCTCTCCCGTTTCCGTTTTCAACAGGTTGCGAGGTTATTGTGCCCACTGACTTTGAGCACCGTCTGGTACTGTCTTACGTGAATGTAGTTCTTCAGGAAATTTGCATTTTCCGAAATTTGTAGAACATCACCTTTTTGTAATGGAGCATTTCAGCCTGCGTTTCACGAGTTCTGCAGGATGGTATCTCGTTTGAAGACCAATTTTCAACTGTGTGAACTAATCAAAGTGCCTGATTATGCTGCAGTTATGCGTCTTCTCGCACAGTTCACTGTGGAAAGTCTGAGGGTATTCATTCATTATTTTAGCTCTTCTATCACTGTTTCGAGAATCACTTTACTTTTCTTACTCTTCACCCTTATATTTTCAGATGATGGACCTCTCCGCCAACAGCACTTATTTTTTGTTGACATTTTGGCAACGTATGGTCACTTCTGTCCGTATGTTCGCAGCAGTGAAGATCATCTGCTCAATCTCTGTTGCCCCGAAATTATGACGGCATTTGTGGAAAGTCGTTTGCAAAATGTTGAGAGAGTTGTTAGGTACTGACCTTTTCTAAGTTCGCAGTTTTGCTTTTATTTATTAGGTTCTATTAGGTTGATGTGTTGTGATTAGGGCCAGGGTGATGAAGTTACGCACGGCGCCTGATCAGTGGTTCACGATGCTGTGCCCTGCCCCCGCAACCAAACAGTCCATTCTTCACGAGTCGACCAATTGGTAGCAGACTCGTGTAGGGGACAGAAACACAGACTCATGTCTCAAATGGCTCGGCAGGTCGTTCTAGAGCTCAAATCGCACCCGAAATGGCTCTGGGATTCTGAATAGAGGTTCAGTCCTGGCACACCCAGAAAAGGGTTGACCAACACCAAAAAATTCAGGTTTCAAACTTTTTGTGTGGATATCAGGGCCAGTGCACGTCGTACTTGCGGATCCCCAGCGGTGGTCGCGTTTCGCATTTGGTCCCTGTAGGGAGGCGAGTCATTTTTGGCCTGAGAATCTCTTTATCCTGTTCCGAAATTTCCTGTTTCACGTGCGTTATCCGTATTGGTGGGAGACTCCCATCGGGGGAGGGGGGTTGTATCTGACCATCTGATAATATTATGTTAATAATTCGGATCAACATTTTGACGCTGGCATTTCAGAGACGGTCACGATGATCCACTGGAAGATCAAGGAGCGACGCTCCAAATAATGGAGCACTTGGCCATAATATGTCGATGCGAATATGAAAAGACTGCTCAACTTTTAGCTAATGCTTTTGATGAGAACGCAAGAATTATGGAAGCTGGGCCAGAGGGGGTTGGTTGCTTTCATGGCCGCCTGTTTTTTTTCTGAACACCTGTCCACGCGTTCATTTTTTGCAGTTGGATCGCGAAGGGTGAATGAACTCATAGTGATTGCCTGCAGTTTCAGGATATTCGTGTTGTTATCGCTGAAGGTCGTCTTGTCTGGCTAGTGACACTGATCGGTACTGCTGTTTTTGGTAAAACAGCCGTATCGAATAACGAGGAACACGATAAAATGGATGGAGACCTTGTTGCAAGGTAATGTTGCGGTGCAGTTCGGCTTCGGGAGGGGGGGGGGCATTTCGCACTCTTGCTGCTTCCCATCGACGCGTCGAGCCATCAGCTGGAGACCTCTGAAAACGTGTGAAGAAGCGGAATGATGCCAGCCCAAGTTTGTTGAGATCACCTGTCAACACTTGTACATTCATGATGAAGCAGGGCACATCGTTGTTGGGGAATCCCCAAAGGGGGGGGGTCGTATTTGGGCTGAGAAAAATTTATTTTGATAGTTGATTTTTTCGCTTCATGGACGTTGTAAAGGGAGGGGGGTCGTATTTGATCATTTTGGGAGGGGGAGGTCGTATTTACGTTTTGGCGTTGTGGGAGTGGCGGTTGACTTTTGGTGATTTTCCTTGCGTACTATATGCCCCCGCTCGACAGCAAAATTTTTGGTAAAAAGTAGGGAAGTTTTCGGAAATTTTGGAAAAAAGGGGCAGGAAGTTGGGGAAGATCTGATTGTAGAAGTGGGGGGGGGGTCGTACCATTCCCAAAAAAAGGGGTCATATAGAGTCGACTAAAATCCCCAACCAATGATGTGCCCTGTGATGAAGTTCTTTTCATGAGCTATTTCATGCGCTCCAAGAGTGGACAGGCTTCATCAGACTCAGACTTGTAGGCCAGAGCTAGTGAAGCAGCAAATGTGCAAAATGCCCCTCTCCCCCGTCGTCGAACTGCGTGAAATGTTTCCTTCGAGTAGGTAAATGATCAGCAAGGCATCTGAAGGTTTTTTTGCGTTATCCTACTATGCGTGATCTTACTATTACATTTTTGTCAGATGCCTGAAATTCATGCGAATCAACGACAATCGACTCATTTTCCCCACAACAGTTAATGCCAATCCAGGGAAAGGAAATGTCCGTCTTGAGGTATGGAAAGATTTTTCTCGCTTCTCTCTGTTTAGGAAGAAGCTCCGTTATGCAAGGTGGCGCGTTTGTGGTGCGAGGATGCGGGTTACGTGTTTGCCCATAGTCTTGCCGTCAAGGTTCTGGGTAGTAACCATTACCCAAGGATTGGTTTTTCTAACCAGGTTGGGGCAACTCCCGCACAACCCCTTAAAAGGAGCTGGACGAGCTTGTATCTCATTTAAAAAGGGGGGATGTGTAAAGTCGAAAAGAACACAGGAAGTAAAAGCAAGGAAATGGCCCCCGAATGGGAGTTCCGAGGGTAGTGATAAC